TAGCTGCTCAGTTTCTATCGTGTTTTGCAACAATATAGTTACTATTCTTTTCATTTTCATTTACTATTCTTTTTTGAAGGACAACTTTGATAATCTTTCTTACAGTACTATGTCAGCTATTGGTTTACAGTGGACGGCAATGCAACTAGCTATGCTGAGAGCTTCATGAGTGTTATCGGTGCCACGTCTCAAATTCCAAATGTTGGGATCATGTTTGTTAACATAGCTGTAGTAGTCGCGTTAGTTGACTACTTATCCTTTCAGCAATTCTTTATCAAGACTTATGCCTTCCCTCCGCATTCTTTGCTCATTTCAGGGGATCTCTCATGTACCGAATTGTTGTGCCGCTTATCATCAATTGCTTTTTAGTGATATTTATCATAACACTTGTGATTTTTGTTCAACCGAACGATGACGGTGAGTGTAAAAAAACATTGTTGAATTCCCAACAAATTGGAGACGCATAGAGCTGGACCGACGTCTGCCATTTTGTGTGTTCGCAATTCGTCATACCTACATGCTGATTTTAAAACGTGCCGGGTGTGCGGTGTATATTTTGCACCAGCCAGAACGCTCAGTTGACGTCGAGCTCTCCTGTTAGGCTGCCGCGGAGGGACTACCTTTTTGAAAAATAGGCGAAAATTATCTTCCCGAAGCATAATTCTGAGCAGATTTCATACCTTGCACCGTTGAGGATGTTCCCAGAATGCACACGTTGCGCATCACTTCCTAAAAGCATCAACACGCGCACAAGCGCGTGTCTGTCACTTGGCACACAGTCGGTGCCTGACAAACCATTTTTTCACTACATTCTGCATATTTTTAGGTATACTACATAAAGGGTTGCTTTTGATCGCGTGTTTTTAGCTCAAACTTTTCTTTTTCGTATGAGTTGTTGTTAATGAACTAATGAACTCACCTCTTGGCTTACCGAACGCTTTCACACCAACAGTTCAAAGGCAATTGAAGACAATAGTTCATGCAACAAAGAAAAAGTTTCTCACTAAAAAACACGAGCTAGAGCAAAAGCCACATAGAATATCAAAAGAAAATAAAGGATGTAACGAAATCGAGATTGATCGATTGGGAGGCTACACCTGCGGGCAAGTACGCAACATACGGTAGTGCGCGTGTTACCGCTCTTCACACTATTCTCATTGTCCACACTGTACGCACTGCCCACATCGTCGCGATGGCGTCCGCACTGCCCACAGCGTCGCAACGGCGCAAAGTATGAACGCAGCCGAAGACAGCAAAGTACAACATATCGCCTTTTCACTTTGTGGTTGTTAATCATTAAAATTTCAAAAGTCGCCAAATATTACCATATTGTAGACGCGAAAAGAAGAGACAGTGTAACGTAAGCACTATAAGGGTGGAAGGCAGGAGAAACAAGAGTACTACTTGATGATTACACAGTGCTCTAGATAAACACTCTGAAAGCATGGAAGTGATCGCTATCAACACTATTGCTACCAGGCAGAAGAATAGAGCTTGCGAATTGCCCCTCACTAAGTGTAGTATTGTGGGCGTCATCACAATAATGTCATCACGCTAGAACAATAACTCCGAAACGTCACCCACTGAAAGTCTGTATCAATCTCGTACGCTGAAGAAATCAAAAACTTGAGTACCTCAACACATGATTGAACTCCAATCCAAAAGCGGTTGGTGCCCATTGTAAGGTCTTAGGACTCCTAGTTCTCTTAGCGTTGGTTTATTACATTAGGTGCCTTCATTTTGCGGATGGACAGGTTGGCATACAAAGCGGCA